CTTTCTCCAAGTGCATGACTAAAACAAAAGAGGGCCATTGCACTGGCTGCTAGCTTAATCTGTAAAAATAAAGAACTTTACTTAAAAAGTATTTGTATTTCATGTATTATATTACAGCATTTGGCCCACAGCCGTGGATAGATTTTCATTTCGGCCCTCTCGGCTAAAATGTTTGGGCACCTCTGTTTTAAAGAAATAGGTCACGAGGTCAGATCAGAGTTCATGTTGGAGGTGACTTTAAGCTACTTGAAGTTGATTGGCTCTGGTGGCTGTCTTAAGTTAAGTCAGTCAACTGTGGATGCACAGACTTTCTGAGAATTTTGATTAATCCAGAGGTTCACAAAATATGTTCCTAACAGACAGATACGTCACCGTGAATCAACTATTCGACTTTGGATGGAGTATGTGGAGGCCTTTAGTCAAACACGTCTGAAATGACATAATCTGGTGTCTCAGGTCTTGTTCAAGTATAAACCAGACCATGGCCCCTTGAGCCTCTTTCCTAGTGACGCCCTTGTTTAGAAGCTTCATCGTGACAATCCTGATTTTTTTTCAGACGGGTTTCCAGCTTGAATAAATTCCCATAAAGTAAATTGTTTTAATGTTTTTAAAAAGTGGTGAATTACTACTGAAGCTGTGGACATTTTACCTGCTCAATGTGTTCAATGTTTTACTGTGAGAATCTGCTGCCCTCTGCTGGAAGAAGCTTTGAACTGCAGCTTTCTTTTATTATAACAATATATTTTTTTAATACTTCACCACTTTTCATTAAATAGACGGTGCTTATCTTCATCGGTGTTTAGTCTTTAGCAACAGTAAAATCTTCAGCGTGGAGGAGCTTCGGAAAGAAAAAAAAAACTGAACCTTTACACCCACATACTTTCGTTTTCACGAAAACGTTTCGCTATGAGTGGCTGGGCGAGCGCCTGTCTGTGTGCTTTCTTGTCAATAAGATATATCCTACTTAAGCTGAGTTTCCTGGACAATTTAAAAATGATCTCACAGATTCACACGTTTGAGTGTTTTAGGATCAGTTCTTCCAAAGGAGAAAAAAGATCATCTACAAACTAAATGTTTGTTTTAAGTCAGCTTTAAAGTCTGCTCCTGACTCAAACACTTTACTTGAAACTGATTTGTCTCCTAACAGCCAGCAGGGGAAACCGAAAGTACAGAAACCAACCAGGCTTTCGCTTTCACTTGTAAGAGCGCACCAAACTTTCTGACTTCTGCTTTAAAACTCAGATCTGTATGTTTGACTTTTCTTCATTTTTATCATTTGACTTGTTCACTCTGCTGCTCTGTGATCACCATTAAACGGAGGGCTTCATCAGCAGCGCGCAATAAAAACAGATTCTCTTTGTGTGTTTTTTTTTTTTTGTTTTGTTTGTTTTCTGGCTTTCCTGGAGCAGCATGAGCTGAAGATGGAAGAAGGAGCCAAGCTGCACCTGAAAGAGTGGCTGATCGCTCAGATAGAGAGCGGCAGCTTCGAGGGCCTGAGCTGGGAGGATGAGGAGAAGACCATGTTCAGGATCCCCTGGAAGCACGCGGCCAAGAAGGACTACAAGCAGACGGAGGATGCGGCTCTGTTCAAGGTCAGGACGGTTCCTTCTTCTTGTTAAACGTCTCCACTTTCTGACAGCTGGAGACGTGGCGTAAAAACTGATTTAAGTGAGCGGAAAAACCCCGCTGCTCCGTGCGTCAGGTGAAATGAAAACTGCGCTAAACTGAAATCTGATGCGATTTGGGTCAAGGAGTCCCTCTGCTGCTCTGGACCCAAGAACAATCCCCCCCTTCCATGTGAGAAACTTCTCTTTTTGTCTGTCCAGTGATTGAGTCTCAGTCTAGAGTGGGGGTCCCCAAAGCAGGGGTCGGGTGCACCGTGCGGGTCCTAAAACGTCAAAGTTTGGGGTCGCAAAATGATCGCTTGAATTAATGGTCAGAGTTGTAAAGTAACTAAGTACAAATACTTTGTTACTGTACTTAAGTAGAAATTTTGGTTATCTGTACTTTACTTGAGTAATTATTTTTCAGCAAACTTTTTACTTTTACTCATTACATTTTTACACAATTATCTGTACTTTCTACTCACTACATTTTAAAAAAAAGGTAGAAAGTTGTTACTTGTATTTTATTCCGAGTTGTTAATATTTAAAAATACTGTTTTGATAAATTGTGTCTCCTGGATAGAGTGAATTTAATTGGTTGGATGAGAAGTATAAATATACACCATTCTGACTCCAGCTTGTACACAACCCATCACAGCTGCAGGCTGTTAGAAAAAATATTTTTTGGAGAAGTCACCTCCTAATAAATGTCATTTTGGAAAATCTAACTGCTCACTTTTACTTTTACTCAGTACTTTTACTTTAAATACTTAAGTGGAGTTTGTGTCAGAAATTTACTTTTGATACTTAAGTACAAAAAATATCAGATAAGACTTTTACTCAAGTAATATTTTTAGAGAAGACTTTAACTTTTACCAAAGTATTTTTATGATAAGACACTTGTACTTTTACTCAAGTATCACTTTGACTGTTAATGGTTTTGAGAAAATGCCAACAACAATGTCGTAGTTATGTGGTTATGAAGGGATAAAAAGAGACTAATGATTGTTGTTCATTTGTTTAATGAACTCAAACAATACTGGGTGTTCTGTGGGTTTGAAGCTGAAAGTCTGGGAAATCTAGAGGTTTGTGTGTGTGTGGTGGTGGGGGGGGCGGTTATGTTTAGGACTCAGGTGTGAATGTTAGGTTCAGGATCATAGAAATGAATGAAAAATGAATGGAAGTTAATGCAAAGTCCCTGTGAGGATAGAGAAACATAATTTCCTGTGTGTATAGTAATAGTGGAGAGTCACATTTTCTCCATTTTCAAGGCTCAATTTTTTTTCTGTGGAGAAAAATCAAACAGGTAGAGAAACCTTTTACATATAAAAGTTTGTAGCTCAAAAAGTTTTATACTGTATATATTAATTTAAAATAATAATAATAATATAATAAAATAAAATCCCCAAATTCAATTTAAATAGTTATTGGTAATTTACTGCATCCATTAGGATGAATTAAAAAGGTGCAAAAATTAAAATATAAAATCTCTAAAATCACTGTACTTATGTATAAAAGAAGCACTTTAAAGACATTCTGCTGAATGTTGATCTTTTTCAGACATATGGGTAAATAGTAAGTCAAAGAAATGGGGGGAAAATATTAGTAAATGATGCAAACTTCATTTTGTAATTTATTTAAACCGTTAATGTGCCGTTAATGCTGTGGTGATAATTAATGATAAACAGTCAAAGTGAATTCAGCGAGTAAATTATGTTCTTCTTAGTTTCACTGAGGGTAATCAGTGTGCATTGCCAATGCAATACACACTATTGTGATTCGTTTCCCATCCAAGTCATCTCCACTTTGGCACGCTTCTCCTCCTGCATACTTTGTCCTAGAGCTGCCATTGTAATTTATATCTGTAAACCTCCTGTGCCAGATGATGGCTATGCCTTTTGGTGCCTGTACAACTTATACTTTTTGAAATATTAATGTTTAAAATCATATAATGCCAGTCAATGGAGCCTTGTATTGGTCCAATACTGCCCCTTGCTGTATATACTCAGTACTGACCCATAGTTTTAATAATATTTAAACTCAGTAGTTCAGTGATTACAATACTAATATGATTGTGTTTTGATGTTTTACTAAAATATTGTCCTAATATTACTCTATTGTTGTAATATTATGCATTTCTGTGTCAACAATTGCATTGGCAATGTGGCCTCTTTCTGCACACATACAAACCAACCCCTGCCACCACCTTCTGCCAAAGCTCCATCGGTCTAATGGTCTATGTCATGGTCTTTCATGTGGGAGATCAGGGTTAAAAACCCAGCTAATGCAACTTTAACAACAAATCTTTTCCAACTTCATATTGTCACTCAATTACCTTAATTACAAACACCTGCTGATGTGACAGGCACAAGCTGGTATAGAAAACATATTTGAACTTGGTCAAAGTTCATTCTGCAAGTCCAATGCTGCAGGCAAAGCCATGCTGCAATGACATGCTGCATGGCAATGCACACTTGTTTTTACATTGTAAAAACCCATGTCTAGTTCATTTATAGAAGTAAAGCTTCAGTCGCTCTGGAATATTGATTTTATAGGAGTATCTGGTGCTAAAATATCTTTAAACCAATTTATATGTAAAGAACTTTATTATATGATCTTGTTCTTAATCTTTCCCTCCTTCCTGCAACACGTCACACTTCATCTTGTGAGCGGAAAATATTTTCCAGCGCACCCCGCAGAGAATTCCAGTTTCCTACAGAAGATGTGTACTCCTGAAGTGTCACAACGGATTAGCTGGCCGTCATTTTCTTCCTTCTTTCATCAGCGTGAAGCTCATTTCAGCAACGCTTCCTCAGGATGTGAGGATTGGCTCATCAGCAGAGCGAGACAGAGCCGCTCAGGCAGCAGCTTGTTATTCATCCATCAGCTGATCGATCACAGCAGAGCCGGCTGGCTGGGTGGAGGCTCCTTTTTTGCATCACGTCACTTATTTTGTGCAAATGTTTGAGGGTAAACAAGCAGCATGTTTCCATAGAAAAACTACGTTTAACTAGTTGTAAAGCTTGTAAAAACATCAAAACAAAACAAGTACAAACCACAAAATCAACTTTATTAAACTAGCTTTTCAAAAAAATATTGAGAAAACACACAGATGTTCTCATAGTGTCTGAGTTGGGGGGTCAAAGATCCTGCTGCTTTTTCAGACAGATTACACAACATGTAAACATCTATTGTTTTCTAAAATATGTGAAAATGTCACCAACAATTCCTCACATTGGATTTCTTAGTCTTTGTTAGACCACATGCAGATATAAAAGTACCACAGAGAGAGCAAAACAGATCAATATAAACATTTACATTTAAAGTACACCTCTCCCAAATCATGAACTTTAATGGAATTTAATTAAATAAACAAAACAAAACTGTGTTTTTTTTTTTTTTTTTTGTTGTTTGAATGCAGTTTTTTTAATGAGCTTGTTGTGCTCACCTGGTTCTGCTCAGGCCTGGGCCGTGTACAAGGGCAAATACAGAGAGGGCAGGGACAAAGCCGACCCCACCATGTGGAAGACCCGACTCCGCTGCGCCCTCAACAAGAGCTCCGACTTCCAGGAGGTCCCTGAACGCAACCAGCTGGACATCACGGAGCCGTACAAGGTCTACCTGATCCAGCAGGACACATCCCCGGTCAAACCTGCAGGTAAGCAGGCACTCAGTCCAGACCCGACTCCCACCGTTCAGTCCTGTATCTGACCTCCTAAAGCTGTCCTCTGCTCCTCCTCCTCAGTGGGTCCTCACACACACCATCAGGTCCTCAAACAGGTGAAACTGTCTCCCAGGAGTCCTGTTTACCTTGACAACCAGGTGAGATAAGACGCACAAATAAAAAACTATGTCGGGCTGTAAAATTAAAGGTTTAGGGGTAAAACTAGAGGTGTCCTGATACCAGTTGTTCGAGTCTTTCTGTACAAGTACTCATAAAAGAATCTGGCATCACGCCAACACCTCTAGGTAAAACACTGACATGCTGATTATTTTCCAAGGAAGTCCCTGTGGATAATGTTTAAAGGGGACCTATTATGCAAAATTCACTTTTTAAAGTTTTTTTTACTCAACTTTGGGTATGCACTTCTTAAAAAAATAGTCCTAGGACCAAATAAAATGCACCCAGGGGCATATTTACTGCAAATAAATGTATTTTTAATGTATATTAACGACAAGTTTTATACTTCTGTCTTTTGTGATGTCACAAGCCGTGCGACAACCCACCGGAACCTGCGCTCAGCCCCTTACCTAGCAACCCCCGGGTGAAGCTCCACCTCCTCAGTATAAAAAGCTGTCACGGCTGTTGTGCAATTTGCAACTCTTTTCACAATAGGGCAATGGGTAGAGTGTTGGACCAGAGATTGGGAGACCAGGGTTTGAGACCAGTACAGACACAATTTAATTATTTATTTTCGTTCGTTATGAACATGTTTTCTCATGTACCTCTATTGTTTACCTTATTAAAGCCTTGTTAAAACCTATTTGTTCGAGTTTCTGAGGTATTTTGACCACTGCTGCTCCCTGCTCTGGTAACAGCATGCAGAGTGAGCGCAGAGCAGAGGAGAGGAGGGGGAGGAAAAAAAAAAAGAAGCTGCGACCACGACTCTGCCTCTGGGTCTCATATGGTTGTACAACGGAGCTTCTGCTATCATTAGCCATGCTAACGTAAACGCTGGCTTTGGAGGGCGGAGTTAATGTCAACAGATTTTTGGAGGGCGTTACCAACAGAGCTCATTAACATAAACAGCTCTTCTGAACGGAAGTCAGAGCAGGCAGAACTAGAAAATGGGAAGTTTTATCATCTGAGAATTACTTTGTGCGTTAAATTGAATGAACATGGTCTGGATAGCCCACAGACATACCATAAAAATTTCTAGGACCCATAATTGGTCTCCTTTAAAAATATGGAGGAAATGTAAACCTCATTAAATCTAATTCTGCTTTCTGTTTTTGAAGCTTCATTTCCAGACAGAATCGTTCCAAGTAAACACAGAGGAAAAACTGCGTTCTGGTAAGTGTTGTCGACACAAATCCTTGGAGCAAATTGAAACTGTTCTGGAGAATCCTGGACATTTCTGTCAGTCAGTCATGCAACCATCAAGTTTATCCCCAACCTCACCCTCACCATTGTTCTGACTCTTAACAGCTGCTAAAATATTCTCTCTGTTTTCTTCAAGTGGTGTGATTTTTGGAATCATGTCGTCAGGACATTTTTAACATGCAGATCTGGGCTCAGACTGGGATTTATAGCGCTGGCTGATGTTTTCTTTTTGTCTGTACTCATCACTTGTTGATCTCACAGCAGGTAGTTTAGTTGATTTACATGTTTTTGTGTATAAAGAATACACAACGTTTTCATACTAACCTTGAATTTTTCCAAAAAGATATATTTTTAAACTCCAATAAAGAAACTATTTCTGGTTATATGAAGAAAAGTGGTTGTTTTGTTAGTCCCATCAGAGCAAAAAGCCCTTATCTCTTTGTGTGTATTTTGGGTCATTCTGTGCTTTAAGAACTTTTTTGTTTATTTTCTTTATATTGAATAATAAGCTTTTTGGCCAAAAGGACTCATATAGAGAGAGGGAACTAATTAGAGTATTCCTACCTAAAACATCAGTGTTCAGCAGCACAGCTTTAATGGCTCCAATTTGGTTCAGTTTTATTTGGAAATAGCTTCAGCTGCTCTAATGCAGCATCCAGTTTTAATAGGTTGCACAATTCACCTTTAAATAAAATAAAATGAAAAAAGAATTAAAATGAACTAAAAATATAATTAGGATGTCCCGATCAGATACTCAGTATTTGTATTGGTGGCAGATATGGACATTTTTTGAAAATCTGGTAGTATCGGATTTAGTCATGTGATCGGACCGATCCAGTTTTCGCGACAGTTTTCAGCATCATCATGCTTTACAACTGCTGTTAAGAAGTCAAGACGCACACAAGTATGCAACCATGTCCACAGCGTGGGAACACTTAAAACAATGATGCTGAAACGGCCTCTTGCAAAATCTGCAAACTGGATGTTTGTCATGGTTGGAACAGCAGGGCTCGCTTTAAGACTACCAACCTTGTCACTTGGAAAGAAACAAAGAAAAGAAGCTATCGGATCGGTATCGGAAAGACTAATCATTAAAAAAATCGGATTGTATCAGGAACCAAAAAATCTGGATCGGGCTATCCCTAAATATAATATGACTTTGCAGGTTATGATCCAACATATTACTGTCAAAATCCTGAGAACTTGTTTTTACCAACTGGAGTGTTGTTCTTGTGCAACGATATTTTAAAAGAAACAGCGTCAGCTTAAGTAACTTTGGCTCATTGTTCAACTATCAGCAACTTCAGCTTTTTCATCACAAAGTACTTCATTTAAGTTCTTCTAAATAATTCTGCATTTCCTCTTGGCTCCTTAAGACAAGATGTACTTTCTCTAATTTCTCTTTCATTGGAACCTTTGTTGTACTTCCTGCTCTGCTTTGACTCGAGTCACTTCACAGTCAGATGCTCTTTCTTTAAGGAAGTACAAAGAAATGTGAGAGTTATTGTTTAACCGTTGAAGGCAAGGCGTTTGGATGAGATGCAGCAACATGAGACAAATGAAGAAAATACTGAGTGAAAAAAAACTAGAGAAGCAGCTGAGAAGGAAAACATGAAAAAACATTCTAAACAAGGAAGGATAACAAAGTGGGAAAAATGTCACACAGTGAGCAGACAGAGAACAAGGCTGAATATACTGTATATGCAACAATTAGCAAACAGAAACCAGGCGTGACAAAGCAACAGGAAACAGACCTAAACACGTGTCTTCATGCACGCCGTCCTGCCTGTTCTTTGGATGGTTGACCTCCGGCCTTTAATCTCAGGCCAACATTGTAAATAAGAAACTGTTCTTAATGTTTTGCCTGTTGAAATAAAGGTTAAATAAATAAATAAATCTCAGTCTCTGTGACACCCATCTCCCTATACAGTACAACACAGCTTTATTTATAACGCACTTTAAAAATAACGCCGTTGGCCAAATGCATAAAAGCAAACATAAAAACAAAATGAGTAAAATGATCCAATAATTTTATAAAAACAACAAACAAACCAAAAAAAAAAAAAAACACTGATACATTTTATTTATTTATTTATTTAGACTTATCACCTCCACCTCCCCAGGCTCTCTTCCACCTGCTCCCTGTTCTTGTATAATAAAAGATGCTTCACAGATAGACTGACTGATGATTTTTTTTGTCTTTAATTTGTGATTATTTCAGCTTAGTTGTTTTTGGGTGGGTTTTGCTGGAACATTAGTTCGGACTGAATTCATGTTGTCTGGTTCAGTGACAGAACAAATCTAGGGCCTGTTTCCAAAACCGTCTCCAGCTTTAGTGACAGTGAGAGATTTTGTGGTTGGGAACTTGGCAAACAAAAAGCAAACTAAACAAAACACTTTTGTTTTTTCTTAATAAAGTACAACTTAACTGTTTTGCACATGGGCCCGGTCCTGCTGTATGTCTAAGTACACTTTGTTGGCTGAAGGTTGAATATTTTTAATTTGCACATTTAAAAACACATCTTGTTTGTATTTATTTGTTCCTCTGCGTGTCTTTAGACGACCCATTGAAGGAGCACATGTACTGTGAGATAACAGAGGAAACTATTCAAAATCTGGCTCCGGCTCCCATCAACTTCTTCAGTCCCACGCTAGATATATCAGGTAAGAAGACTTACCAGAATAAATCTTCCTAAAATAAAACATATTTTGTCTTCTGAATACATTTCCCAGGTTCTTAGTAGCTTTTTGTGTGTGCAGACTTTCGTATGCAGGTGAGGCTTTTGTACCAAGGCAACACGGTGACTAAAGTGACCACCAGGAGCCCAGACGGGTGCTTCATTCTTCAGGGTCGAGTTCCTTTGGGAAATGAACGGATCTACGGGCCCTGCTCAGCCCAGCAGCTCTCTTTCCCTTCTCCAGCCTCGGTGTCTCTACCCACCTGCATGGCCGAGGCGATGAATCGCCTACTTTGTCACCTGGAGAGGGGCGTGCTACTATGGGTGGCGCCTGACGGGGTGTTTATCAAGCGGTTCTGCCAGGGCAGGGTGTACTGGAGTGGTCCCATGGCCCAACACGTCGACCAGCCAAACAAACTGGAGCGGGAAAAGACGTTCAAACTCCTGGATATCCAAGTGTTTCTTAATGGTATGACTGAAAGGGCTTACTTTCTTGGCAGAGGGTGTGTGGTTACGCTAAACCTGAATATATCCTGTCTGTGTAGCTCTGCAGAACTGTTTGCAAGGGAAAGGGTCCGCACCTCCGTATGAGATCGAGCTCTGCTTCGGAGAAGAATATCCCGATCCAAACGTACCGAAAGCCAGGAAGCTCATCATGGCACAGGTTGGTTGGAAAATCACCCAGATGTTTTTTTTTATTGGATCTGTCTAGAATTGTCTCACGCAGTGGCAGCTGGTGGTGGTATTTATAGGGTGGGCTAGCAGATACAGTATGTAATATATAGATAATACCATATATATCTGCTAAACGGCAAATACAATAAGCAGAAAAAAAAAAGATTTGTTAGCTTCACTTGCCGTTAGCCAGTCTTTTCAATGAAACCGCATCACAGGAAAATTTTGGTTTTGCCGTTTTTCCATTTGCTGGATAGGAATATCTTTTGGTCTATCCACCCCCCAACCTCTTCACTTCCAGTTTTCCTCCAAAGACATGAAGGACAACGGGTGATAAATTAAATAATCCCCGTCCATGCTAATCTTGCTCGCCATCGTATACGTCAAAACCACACCCACAGACACTCGAGGAACATTATTGTCCGTCCAACCTCATTCTGTAACACAAAAGACGTTGAATGAACAGGGCTGTGAAAACTCAACCCTTTGGAAAGACTCAGGGATTTTCTTGAGAATGGTTGGCACCAGTTTTGTTGTGAATTTAAAAAGATGTAATACAAGGGCAGGCTTAGCACTACTAGCCCACTTATACCAGCTGTCCCTGGTCTTACGTACAACAGAGATTCAGGTCAGCTTGGCTGATTTGTGATTTCTTGGTCACGTTAAACTGGGAAATTAAGGATTATAATTTATAAAAAGAAATGTGATTTGAATGGTAATCAAGGGCTTCATTTATAATTTCTCAAAATAACAAAAATAATTGGGATTAAAAGATTTTCTCTGGTTGCTCAGATTAGATTCTCCATCTTGCTGCATGAGTTGTGTTTTTTTTCAGCCAGTAGATGTCCTCATGAACACACAGATGTTTGCATGTTACTGTTTCTCGTTGGGCAGGTGGTTCCCTTGTTTGCAGTGGATCTGCTACAAAGATTCAACTTGGGACAAAAAGATGAAAAATCTCCAATTCTTGGTTCAAAGTTGGAGAGGAAGGAGGACTAAGAGATGTACCTTTATCAGGGACTGGACTGGACAAAAAAACTAATGAAGCTGTGATTGTCCTGAAATACAGCAGCTAAGTGTTGTTAGTAAAAAATGTATATATAGTATAAATGACTGCATGGTACTTACCTGCACTAATTAAAATTAATATTCTTTATTTTTTGTGTGACTCCAAAAATGTTTTAAATCCTATTATGACTCATTTTGTGCAGCTAGATACTCGTGCTAAGATGCCATGAATGTGAATTTTTCCCTCCCTTGTCATGTTTAGGCAGTTCCATGTTTGTCATATATTATGTACTAATTTAACTTTTTGTCTTACAACAAATACAGAAAATAAAATGACACCAGTATTATAATCTATAAAGCTTGTTTTCTCATTTATTTCTAGCGAACATCATAGAACAGATTCACAAGTTTTTAAAAATATACATTTTTGTAGCTTTAACATTTAAAAAGAAAAATAAACAGGTTCATTTTTTTCTCTTTGAAAATTAAAAAACAAAAACAAAAAAAAAATACAAACTAAAGTGAGAGAGAGTGCTGATTCAGATGATTTACCCGTATCTGAGTTTTTAAAATACTTTCGTCATTTTCCCTGCCTTCAAACAAATACAGTACATAAAAAGGATGAGACGGGGGGAACAGAAGCGTACAGTACACGGGGGTCAAGAGCATTCACAAAGCATCATGTTCCAACGTGTTATTAGCACCATTACTCTTCAGCCATACTGCACCTTTTACTCCTTCCATCATTCAGTCTTAATGGAAAAACACCATGAGTGTCGAGGCCCGTCTGTGTGCGTGGGATTGTCTGTTACGCAGTTTTCATTAGTGTTCTCCCTTTGTCAGAGATAATGTTAAGAACATATTGGAGAGTAATGCCTTGATGAAAAAACTTTTTTTTAAATGACTCCCAGTGATGAGGATGAAAAAAGGCGAAGAGTTGCTCATACATTCACCTGTGCCTGCCCAGGCCGGCATGAAGACATCGGCTCAGAAGCAAGAAAAACATTAAAAATAACGCATTGCAAAATTGACAGAGATTGCATTAAATCTGTTTAGCATATTTACTGTATATAACATCTGTAATGTAATATATATTTATATATATATATAGTCAATTTTTGTTTGTATATTTCTGCAATTCCTCAATAGCGTTTAGTTTTTGTAACACTGATCGAAAATACCCTGCAGCGATTACTTTTATTAAGTACTGTAGGTGTGTGGGACAATCATAACAAAAACAGAGTGAACACACACACACACACAAGTGCTTGATTGTCTCACTGAATGTCTTCAGTGTGTTTGTAAAGAGTCATTCAGAGATGTTTGAGTTGCTGCTGCTTTCAGGGCTGTGTTAAGTACAACTAGGTTGGAGGAAAGGGAAAGGAAAGGAAAGGAAAGGAAAGGAAAAGAAAGGAAAGGAAGGGTGCAGCAAGACCAAAGTGAGTGATCACCTGTATTTTATTTTGTATTCCTTCCCTGCAACCCTGCCTTGAGGTCTCTCCATTGTTTGTATTTGTGGGCGCAACAGAGACAAGGAGGGTGTGTATGTGCTTATGCATGTGTTTGTGTGTGTGTGTGTGTGTGTGTACATGTGCAAGTTTCTACTGCCACTTCATTAGCTTGGAGCCATGAGGTAAACCCAAGAGGCTTTCATCAGTTCCTGTTGAGGGAAGTATGTCCGGTGCAGACCAACGCCGTTTGCGAAGCCGTCGCTGCTCTTTCACAGGAGGGCCTGCGGACTGTGTGCACGGAGTGCATGCCGTAGAGGGAGGTGGTTGATGAGGAAGAGGGGGAGGTGGAGGCGGGGGTGGCATCTCCTCCCTTTGTGAGCTGCTCGACTCGGCCCCGGCCTTGGACAGGAGCTGCGTGTGATGGGCTTTGGAGCTGGCGCGCACGTGTGTCCGTTGAGTTTGGGCGATAGTCGGGGTGAGGGCCAGGCATACGTCGCCCTCTGTGAGCTGACGGCATGGCAGGCCGTACAGCTGCATGGTTTTCTGAGGAGAGCAAGAAGACCAACCCCGGTCTTGCACAAAGAAGGGGTACTCCACCAAGACCTGCAGTAACTCCTATACAAAACCACAACATGACTTTAAACTCAACCAAAAGTTTTGTAGATTATTATCACAATAAGAGTTAAAAAAATAATCCTAACTGTTAAGAGATAAAGTAGTTATCACAGTATATTTTATATTAAAATTGTGAATGTCAGGGAAATTAGGAGACAGCTAACCTGAGTGTTGCGGTCTGTGAGGTGGACCTGCAGGTGGCTGAAGCCCTGTGCACTGCTGGGGGATATCAGCGACACCGTGCAGGTGCTGAGGTGGAACTCTGGGGATGTGTCTGCGCTCCTCAGGAAGTCGTCCGTCCGCAACTCCTCCACCCGCTTCAGCCGACCACTGCCCAACTCAATCAGAGACCCCTTGGTGAAATGAGGTAGGAGTGCGGGGGGCGATGGGCGGAGGGCCGGGGATGAGGTGTGAGGGTTGGAGGGAGAAACCTGTCTCCCTCTGTCTCTGTTCCGTCGTCTCTCACGCTCACTGTCCCTCTCTTGGTCTTTGTCCTGGTGTAGCTGCTTCTCTTTGACTTTGACTCGTTCTCTGTCTCTTTGCAGGATCTTGTCCCTTTCTTGGTCTCTGTCCCGGTCTCTCTGTGACCTGTCATGGCTGTTAGGCAGACCCAGGGGTGAGTGCTGCGAGTTCCTTATGTTGTGCTGCCTGGGTGCTGGCTCCCTGTGCAGACTGAATGGAAATGTTCCTGAGGAGTTGTAGAGCGGGTAGGCTTGAGGGCTGGGATGGGAGATGGATCCCAAGGAATAGTAGAATTGGGCCTCAGTTGGTGTGACTCCCAGGTGGTCCAGTAGCCCACCTCTGCCCATCCTGGAGTCTGGTCCGAGGAGATGGGGACTGATGGGAAGCGGAGTGGAGCTGGTTTTCCCTGGCTGATGTCTTTCCTGCAGGGAAGAATGTTGCTCGGGGTGTTCTTGAGCCTGAGAGTCTGAAAGAAACATCCCTCCAGAATGAACAGGTGATGTTAAGTCTTCCTGCTGTTTCCGTCCACCATTGGCATGCAATGTGTGTGGGCTAATGTTCAGTCTAGACCTGCTGCTGTCATTCCCGTATTCTCCCATGAGCAGAGGTCTGGAGGCTGAGGCAGTCCTGCTGCCTGGCCCATCCAAGCCATTAGGCCTCTTGCTCAAGTACCTGGATCTTACCTCAGCTAGGTTGGGGTCTGGGTACAGAGATTGAGGACTAAAGTATGACGAAGAGAAAAAAGATGGGGTATAGCTGCGTTGGCCACTGTTAATATAGGACCACATCTCTCTAGAACTGTCTGGCAAAGGAGTCTTAAAGGACGAAGAAGAGGAAGGAGAATGAGGGGGTTGCAGTGGCAGCCACCTGGAGTGGTGGGGCCGAGGTGAGGCAAGAGGATCATCTCTCCAAGCTGGAGACCCTGAGCTCCTCCTATCACTAACCTGTCCTGGAAAAAGGGAGACAGGGGGAGAGTAGCTCAGGGCCCATGATAATGGCACAGAGAGGCCTGATGCTTGGGCAGGGAGGGGTGGGGGGCTGTGAAGAGGTTGAGGGTTTGGATTGCAAAGGACTCGATCTCTGTTGCCGCCCTCCCTGCCTCCCTCCCCTCTACCTGTGCTGAGGCGGCTCCGGAACGGCACGGGGGGTTTGAACTCATCCAGTGGAACGTGGTGTTCTGCAGATCCTTGCCGAGACTCTCTCTTCTTGGGAGGGAGGCACTCTTTGCTGCGGTCAGGGCTTGGATTCATGGGTGGGCTCCAGCAGCAGCGGGGGCCCCCTGTGTGTTAGTGCAGGCTAGGTCACATGGGCCTCACGGGAAAACGAGGGGCGTGGACAGAGGGGAAGGCTGATACACAGCATAACTGTGGGGTCACTGTTGATGCTCGTCTACTGAAACACCGCTCACCTACAGAAACAGAGACAAGGGGGACAGAAGTAGGAGAGATTAAGTGTGAACATTGGGGAAGAACAGTCTGTTAGGTCCTGGCATCCCTTGTAGCTGAGACTTAGCTGTCAGTATGGTCAGACGTGCAAACAAACATTCGGCAGTACCAGACAGATGGAGGGTAATCAACCACTCACTCCCTCTTCCAAACTATTTTCAAGAGGTTAGAAACTCGAAGCTTTTCAATGCATATTATTTTTTACCTACGTACACCGTGGTGGGACTGAGACTACCCGATTACTCGTTTCATTCAAACACATTACTCCCACATGCAGGCTAAAAATACATTTTTCAGCCAATGAAGTTCAGAAGCAGTGCAGTATATGCGTGTGCAAATACACACTCACACACATACACACTCTGAGCCCCCACAGCGGGAGAGTTTTCATCTCTGACTCTCAGGGGATGATTGGAATATGTAGATATGCTTTTCTACCACTTTCATGAACCACCCCCACGACGTCCTCGGGTGCTCTCTACATTTTACACAAGCTTACTACCAACACCCCCTCACCCCTTCCCTTTCAGATACGCACACAGACAACAACAGACAAACAAATACTCCCTGAAGTGGCTGTAAACACTCCCCCGGTGATAGGCAAAGCTGGTCACTGCCCACCAAAAGCTGACAGTTACACTGTTGATATTACCACCAGTTGTTGTAGACGCAGGCTATGTGTCCTTGCATGTTAATTAGACATCACAGCATGGGTGTGTGTGTGTGTGTGTGGAGGTGGGGGAAATATGTGTGACAGCGTGCAGACATGTAAGCCATGTTGATCTGTTAAAAACGTGTCATTTTTCTGTCTGGGAAACAAATATGTGAATGTGTGTTATTGTTTGGGTCTTTGTGTGTGTTTGTGTTAGAGTCCCTCTCAGATGTGTCAGAGATTTTACAGCCTTCTTTCATTCGGCAAGAAGTGCGGGGGAGCTCCACTAATTCTTCTCTAAATATTTTAAATGAGCTCTCCCTTTCTTCTCTTTTTTCTTTTTGGGAAACGACGAGCCTCGAGTCCAGCCGTTCCGTCCTCCACGAACGTTGCTGCTCCAGCTGCTGCCACAGCCACTCAGCACCGCACTCACCCGCAAGTCTGTCAGCTGTTAACCAACTCTCTGCCGTCTCACCATCCGCCACACAGTCACCATGGCAACTGGGTCCATACATACATACATACATACATATACATACATACATACATACATACATACATACATACATAC